GGCCGGATAGTTGTTTTGCAACATATGCGACACGGTAATCAGTGCGCTTGCGCCCACGCAACACGCGAGGAAGCGGGACATGTTCCATTCGTGAGTCTGTATCACCCCAGCGCCATCAGGTCTTTGGCGGAGCACCTGAGGATCTCGTACACGATGCAGGTTAATACCTTGTCTCTCACTAGGTACAGGGCTGCCAGCTTGTTCGACACCTATTCATAACTCATAATATCTTTCAGTATACTCGGAAAGGTTCATCGCACATGACTATCTTCGTTGCGTTTGTCTTGTATGAGCGGCGAGGTTGGTCGGGCCACAGGCGTCGGATATACCCCTTACATCTGCGTCTTGGTGCAGAAATTCATTTGCCCTATCAATGGCCTCGAGAATGCAGATTTTATCGCCTTGCATATCAAGAAATTCGCGGACGACGGCGCATCTCCAATGACATCAGCTGGACCTTTCCATATCCGTCTCGAGACCGCGACTCGAAGCTTTACAATCGGTAACGGCTGCACTGCGCCGGCTCGTCGCGCAGGTTACGGGCGTGCAACAGGTGCGCCGCCCCGTCAGGCTACTACAGGTCTGTGATGGGACGGCGGCACTTTTGCTGTAAAGCATTGTAAGAGAGTCACCCTGTTTGTGTAGCCACACTAAGCGCCAAATAGACTGGATGGTCTTCAAACAGAACCTGGGCATCACTCGAGGTCTGGGAAGGGCTGTTGCGTGTACCCGCATGCTGATCAATGCGTGAAGGTGAGGAAACGACAGGTCTGGTTTTCATAACGAGAGCCTGCGCGCCAGAGTCATCGCGTCTGTTCAATTCGACGTGCGGGGATACTGTCCGCAACTCAACAAACGATGATATACCTTTTTCCAACGTCATCTTACGAGACTGTTCAGCCCTGCTGCAAGGGCGACATGGCTGCATCAGCCATCGCCACAGTGAGAAGCTGGCTACTCAACTGGAAGTTAGACTCGACCCGTACCAGTTGACGCCTTGTCATTTGTATGCTACGCACACTGGTCCAAGAAAGGCATGGGTACAAAGATGCATGTGCGAGGAGTGCACCACTGATGCGACCTGTTATGCTTGCAGCGCTCGCGATACTGTGTTCCTGGTACGCGCATTCAACACTGTGCGTGCTTGATTATAGCGGACATATAAGAGCAACACGTTTTGCACCACGGTGAGTAGGACAGCACCACAGCTTCGCTCGAAAGCCAGGTTTGACATCACTATCTAACAGCTCTTTCAACAATATTACTCAGAGACTGCGGTGGCGCGACAGCCAGGCAGAGAAGCCACGATACGCAGGGTGCGAGTGTTGCATGTTCCCATCCGTCTATTCTTGCTCGGAGTGAATTCACTAAGAATGTGAGTGTTTCCCGTGTTGTCATATTTCCTCTTCGCAACTTCCCTTTGTCGAGATTGAGGCTGCCGGTTACACTCCACCGCTGGTCTTCCACCGAGACATCGCGACTGCTCTTTCCCCATCTGCTACGCCCAGACGCCATCATCGAGTACAACAGCTCGCCTCGTCCCATCTTCCCTCGTCTCTTCTTGACTCTTCTTCACTTCTTTCTCACCAATACGCATCAGTGGCCACATTCTTTGTAGCTTTTCCCAGGTCAGTCAGTCTCCGTCTCAACCTATCTCTCACTGTCATGCAGCGTTCCGATACTGACGCCTCGGCAGCTTTGGAGTCACTACCAGTCCCGCACATTGCACAAGTTTGACATTTACGGCCCAGTAAGTCCCTTTCACTTTCACCATCCCATTTTTTGCCTCATGCCCCGCCCTGCCACCGTCAGACCCAGTGAGCTCCTCCCCCACATTGGCTGGCGAGGCCTGCTTTGCTCGTCCTCATCGATCACCGAGCAAATTTGCTAGGCCGAACCCCAGCCTCCCCATAATGGATAAAAGCTAATCTTTCGAGCAGAGCAACGTTCTTCTCTGCATCTCAGTCTGTCTGCCAAGTTCGTTGTTGAGATCCTTCGTCGCAGTCGTCCTCAGGCTCGTATCCTCCAGTCTACCTGCCCCTGCTCGTAGCCTCAGATTCCAGCCCCGGAGACCTCATCGGTCTTTCACTCTTTCTTCGGTCAGCGTCACTTCAGAGCTCGCTACAATGTCTACCAACGGTCGCCAGCAGAGCTACGCGCCTCCCAACGTGGGATACAAGGGACAACACATTCTCAACAACTACAACCAGCACGGACAAGGTCACGGGAGCGCTCAATACCTCCCTCGAGGTCTGCCTATGTCCCCCCACGGTGATAATGGTATGCAAGGTCTGACGAGCAACTTGGCAGCTCTCAACATGCACGCCTCCTACGGTTCGTCCGCTACCTCCAAGTCTGCTAGCTCTGCACTTTCAGGGGGTTCATCCGACTATAGCAACATTCCTCTTTCTAATGGTCAAGGACTCTGGGTTCCCAACCAGCAGGTTCTCGGATCCATGTATCAGATGATGCCTGGCGCTCAGCAGCAGACTGCCATGGCGGCTTCTCCTAGCATGTACAACCACACCGGTGCGTACGTTCCGCAGGCAGCTTACCAATATGGCCAAGCTGTCATCGATAACAGCGCTATACCACCGGTATGGGCTGCTCGAATGTCCTCCGCCGAGATGCCGTCGCTTATGACACCGCGTCGTGACTCTATCTCCTCCAACGAGAATGACAACCCAGGCACACCTTACGGCAGTGGTGGTATGTATCACCGCTTTGGTAACAACACGGCTATTATGGATCGCTCGCCAAGCGTCCTCTACTCCAGCAGTGCCACCCCTTCGCCATCACAACTGGTCCCCCCCTACCAGGTCATGGCGCCCATCCCGAAGCAGCAGACCATGCCCACGTTGCCTCCCAATCTACTGGCATTAGTGCACCAGGAGCCCCCCATTCCTCGGGCCATTCCCGCTCCTAGCTCCCCACACAAGCCACTCGACCGTAGCCTGGAGAATAAGACTGGTGAGACCAACGTCTACATCCGAGGCCTGTTGCCCGAGACCACTGACGAGATGCTTCACTTATGGGGCAAGCGTTTCGGAGACATCCAGAGCTCCAAGTCCATCATCGACCTGAAGACCAACCTTTGCAAGGGGTAAGCAGTTCCCCAAGCATCCCATCGCCTCAATGACTGATTGTCTTTCGCAGCTTCGGATTCATCAAGTACCATAACTTCGAAGACGCTGAGGACTGTATCCGCGGCTTCCACTACCTCGGATACGAAGTCAGCTTTGCTCGGGTATGTTTCCTTACGCTGATGTGCAATGAACTTCACTGACCCTCTCTAGGAATCATTCTATTCCAAACTCAAGAAGTTCGCTGACGACTGTAACACCAATCTTTACGTATCCAACATCCCCAAAAACATGAACGAGCATGAACTCGCCTCCATCTTCGCACCTCACAAGGTCTGCTCGAGCAGGATACTTCGTGACTCTTCCGGTACTGGCCGTGGTGTCGGTTTTGCTCGGTAGTTCACCCATGTGCTACCAATCTGAACGTCGTTAACGGTCTATAGCTTTGAATCTCGCGATATCTGCGACGAGGTCATCAAAGAGTTCAACAACACTCCCGTGTCTAAGCCCGGCGGCGAAGAGCATCTTATCCAGATCCGCTTTTCCGATACACACGAGCAGAAGATGTTGAAGCAGCAGACCGCAGCTGGCCGTGTCTTCCGTGCTGCGGAGTACGAGGTCGGTGTTGCCCAAGCTAGGGCACTGGGCACGCCCGAGCGCTACCTCTCCGTCTCTCCAATACCTGCAGGTCATGCCAACGAGTTCGAGATGTTCATGCGTGGCCAGCGCCAGCCATGGTCACCACCAGTGCCATCGACCCTTGGCCCAACCCGGTCTTGCATTATACCTCGGGGCGGACCCATCAAGAGCGATGATGGTGTTTCTGACAACGGTGTTGATGTCAAGACCAACCCTGCCACTCCTGTGAAGGCCGATACGTCTGCTTCACCGAGCCCTACCAACTAAGCATGCACCGTCTCTTCCAGGTCGACCATCGATATACCTTTCGTGTACGCACTATTCTTCATGATCGCTTCTTCACCATCCTCCAGTCACATTTCCTTGGAGACTCCTTTTGGCATCGATCTTATACCACAAGTATACTCTACGAAGGGCACGCTATATCAACATGCCACGACACGATGCTTTCGTCGTTCCTTTCTGTCGCTTGTTCTGACTTCCATGCCCACGTCGTTGGGCCCCTAATACTTTGCTCTTGGCGCCAGCACCTCGAACGTATCCTTCTCATCGGCAGTCCAGTCTCGCGATTTCCTTTCAACTAATATATTTGAGTGGCTTCTTTCACATTTTAGAAGTATTTGTTAGCATCTGGGCAAGCCAGCAAACCAAAAAGATCTTAGTGGGTCATTCAATATATCTCTTTCTCATCGATGGCAAGGGCAGGTTTCATCAGTGGTGGCTAGGACTATGGTCGGATTTGTCGTAGTTTCGATAGTTCGTCGTATAATAGATCTTCTTCCAAGTCAGATTTGTGCTGGTGTTTGCTTTACAATAGTTGTTCCCTCTGACACCTCCAAAGCCTTTTCCCGCCCTGGTGCCAACGACTCGTTCCGTTCAACTCCACATGAGATTCGCATTGAGTCTTCACCGTGTCAACGTGAGACGATGGAAGGAAGAACCTTGTAATATCTTGGCACCCAACCTGGGTGTAGTAAAAGGGCATCGCGTGCATCTGTGGTGATTACAGCTTGGCCTTGGTCACTGTCGCATATACATATATTCACGCTAGACTCGCTGGAAAGAGCATTTGTATCAATACTTTCATTTCAGTTCATTGCTCTTGCACATCTATATATACAACGGTGTGCCCCTCGGACTCGTCGTTGCGTCAGTGCGAGGGTTGAGGCAGGGACCGTAATGCTATTAGAATGCCAAAATGCTTGGTGCAGACCCTCTCTATGCCCTGCGCGATGTCCTAGACATCTCTTCCTTCTTTCCGCCTCTCACCGGAGTCCTTCAGTCCTCCCACTCTGGGTTCTGAAAATCATGTTAGTCTGGCTGGTAAGGTCACAATTAGTTGGAATTTCATACCTTTCGCAGAATGACCACGCCCTCCAGTACGTTGGTGAGGCTAAGGTACTTCTCGTCTTCCAATTCGGCTCGCTCGCCGTGCGCCAGCAGTACCGGCGTGCTCTGTGTTTGCCATCCGGTGATGGTCTTTGGCCTACCAGCCTGGCCAACAATATCGACAGCCTGACCAACGCGGACGTTGACCGTCAATGGCTTGAGGTCCTCGTCAAGCGTGATGAGGAAGCGCGGTGACATGGCGGTAGCGAGGTAGTAGAGAAGGTAATGTGAGTCACCAGCAACGAATGACTTGGCATCGATCAGGGAAACAAGAACAGTGAGAAGACCCGAAGCCGCTACGCGAGACAATACCTGACGGTCGGTATGGAATGGGTTGAGGGATAGTGTGCCCTTTCCTGCGTGTAGCAGACCTTGTGCTATGCGTACCATGAAGAGAGCGTTGGGGTCACGGTGGTAGTAGCTAGCCAATTGGCGGAGCAGTTGTGCGAGACGAGCGTTGTTGGTACCAGCACCGCAGAGACCCATGGCGAAGATGGCGTTGATGGCGACATCATTGTCGTTGTCGTGAGAGTAACGCGAAAGAGTGTCGTAAACCTTCATCTGCGGGTTACTAGGGCTGATGAGACCCAAAGCGAGAGGCACAGCCTTGCGGATGTTAGCCTCGCCGTAGTGCATCAGGTGGCCGAGTGTGCGGAGGATCATTTCTTGGCCAACATCCTCGCCCATGGCGACTAGTGAGAGACCAATGACAGCGTAAGACTGTAGTAGCTCGTCACCCTTCTTCTCCTCGTTCTCGTCCTCGATGTGCTCATTGCAAATATGGAGCAGTTGCTGAATCTTCAGCACAGCACCCGTACCTGCCCACGCGCATACTTCGGTGAGTACAGAGGCTGACTTGGCCATGGGATGGTCGAGCGCCTTCAGTGTCTCCAAAATGACGTCAACCTCTTCTTGCTGGCCGAAGAAAAGTAGCGCAAGACCGAGAGCCATGAATCGGGTCCACTTGTCCTTGAGCTGCTTCGTTCGGTCCTCGTCCAAGAGTGTGTTCATCAAGGCATCTGTGACGTCTCCATTGGCTGAACCAACAAAGATCATACCGAGAGACAGCGCTGCCATGGCAGAGAGCTGCATATCAAGGCTGGTATCGCTGACGATTGGCAATAGGATGTCCAAAAGGTCTTCCTTATTTGACCCTGCATAGGCGAGACCTAGACCCATGATGGAAGCGAGGCGGATATTCTTGTTCTTGGAGTTGATGTTGTCCTCGTCGCCCAGCAGGGCCATGGCGGGATCTGAGTCCATGCGCACGCCGGAGTTGAAGATTCCGGTAGCAAGCATGGCACCGGCCTTGACCATGTCGTCCTCAACGTGTGTGTAGGGATCGACCTTATCGAGACCCTCTTCTACGTCCCAGAGCATGAGCATACCCAAAGATGCGGTTGTAGAAAGCATGCCTTCTTCCTTGGTCTTCCAGACCCAGCTGCTCTTTGTGTTCTCGTTAAGCATGAGCTTATCATTTGCGTAGCCGGTGTTGACAAAAGCGTTGACGAAGGCGGAGGCGAGGTTGTGTCTGGCAGAGTCGGTGTTGGTGAGTCCGGCAGTCCTGCTGCTCTCAAGATGTGTCTTGTAGATGTCGTCCGGGGTCTTGGGGTCTAGAATGTTAAGCTCCTTGCCCAGCGCCTTGAAGTGATCAGGCAGGCGCGTGTTGTTGATGCACTCCTGGAGCTCGGGGTCTTCGTCTTCGGAGACGTCGAGCCATATCCGCTGTCGGCCGCAAAGGTAGGCCATCTGTCTTCGGATTGACTTGTCTTTGGTGGCGTTGAAGGCTTCGTGGATGAGATCGGTCTCGTGCAATCGTATCGCGATGACGATTGCCTGTGTGTACTGCTTGTATTTGGCGTAGATTCGGTAGGTGGTGCGGAGGAACTTGTCGTTGTCCGGGTAAGTGAGCAGGGGTACGTTGCTGCTGATGTCAGTGTCACTCATGTAGGCGAATGCGACAATGTCCTACCTGACCATGTATAGAGCGACTCTCGAGTATGTGTTGTCGTCAATGTATTGCTCAATCTGATCAATCATCTCCAGCTCAGACAGGATGTCAACGGCATCCGCCTCTGCGTTGTGCTTGAGGAAGAAGGGGACGAGGTTCGAGGCAAGGTCGGTGACATCGTCGGTCGACTTGTCGTCATTGAGGCGGTTCTGGTACTCTGTGCCAATTTCCAGCGCAAGGTGGCGCATGTACTCGTGGCCCCAGGAGCCGAGATCTGTTGAGGGCGCCTCAAGACGGTACTTGAGGCAGTCGAGGCGGTCCTCGTCAGAATACGTCATTCCCAGAACAGACATCATGTCGGCGAGCGAGCGCTTGTTGTCGCCTGCAGGCCATGATGCGTAGGCCTTCTCTAGGGCCTCGTAGTGTGGTCGGAGGAACTTGAGCGGCTTGGGCACGGCCGTCATGGAACTCGTCGATGTCTTGATGAATTCCTTGATCTGTTCGAGCGCGGGCTTGTAGAGGCTGGTGTCGGATCCCTAGTAAACACATGAGGTCAGCGCATGGTGCGAGGGGCAACTTCCACGGTAGCAGCTCACCAGTATCCGCTCTGCCAGCATGTCCAGGTCGCTCTTGAGCTGTTGGTCTTCCTCGCTAAGCTCTTCTGTGGCCCGCAGTCAGTGCATGTCCATGACGAGAGCCACTACAGCTGTGCCCAAGACAAAACATACCGCCAGTTGTCGCAACACCGCCCTTCTTGTCGTCAGCATCTGGCTTTGCATCCTTGCTCTTGTCCGCGTCGGTGTTTGCCGGCGCCTTGCCCTTGCCCTTGTCGGCGGCCGTGGGCTTCTTCTCATCTTCCTTCGCCATGTTGATATGTAGCTAGGACAAGCGGCGAAGTGTGTGTGTGTCGGGACGGAGCGGCGTGGATAGCGACTGTCAAGGGGAATCCGGGGGGGCTATGAGATGTAGATGGCCGCTCAAATGGGTCGGGAGAGCGAGAGCCAAGTCAAATGGGGAGAGTGATAATGGCGGGTTGATGTCGATGAGGCAGCTCTTGCTTCGCGTACACCACTTCCGCCGCGCTAGGGCCAAGCACCGTCCACCGATGATGAGCGCCGCCGCCGCCGCCGCCGCCGCTCAGGCCTTGGAGAAAGCTCCAAAAATTATTGTCGTCGCACCCAAACCCCGGCGTATTCCCCAAACCGCACCCGCCAGGCTTTCCGAGTCGCACAATCTCTCACCATGAAGCTGAATGTCAAGAACATCCGCTATCTGGCCGCAGACGACTGGCGCGTCCTCACTGCGGTATGCGCCCGCACTGTCTTTCCGTACGTAGTGGGGGACTAACGCTGATGAAGACCATGACAGACAGAGATGGGCAGCCGCAACCATGAAGTCGTCCCAACCCCCTTGATCGCCCAGATCGCTGCCCTTCGCTCAGGCACCGGCGTCCACAGGTGCATCTCCAACCTCGCAAAGATCGGCCTCATTGCCAAAGTCCGAAACGCCAAATATGACGGCTACCGGCTCACCTACGGCGGGCTCGACTACCTTGCCCTGCACACCCACCAGAAGGCGTCGACGGTCTACTCGGTCGGCAACCAGATCGGCATAGGAAAGGAGTCGGACATCATTGTCTGCGCCGACGAGACGGGCAAGCAGCTGGTTCTCAAGATCCACCGTCTGGGCCGCATATCTTTCCGCACCGTCAAAGCCAACCGTGACTATCTGCGCAACCGCCAGGGTGGGTCGTGGATGTACATGTCGCGCCTCGCTGCTCTGAAGGAATTCGAGTTTATGAAGGCTCTACGAGCAGAAGGATTCCCAGTGCCAGAGCCGGTCGGTCAGAACAGACATACAGTCATCATGAGCCTCATCGACGGTTTCCCTCTGCGTCAAATCTCAAAAGTTGGCGATCCACAGGAACTCTACGCCGAACTGCTCGCCCTCATCGTTCGTCTGGCGCAGTATGGTCTGATCCACGGTGACTTCAACGAGTTCAACATCATGATTGAAGAGAAACCCGAAAAGGACGGCAGCGTGCCACTGGTGCCCACGCTTATTGACTTCCCGCAAATGGTCTCAATTGATCATGCCAATGCCGAATACTACTTTGACCGCGATGTCGCTTGCGTAAAGCGCTTTTTCCATCGCCGATTCGGCTTCAAAAGCGACGAGCCAGGTCCGTTCTTCAAGGATGCCATCAAGAAGCTTGTCAAGAGGTTGGACGTCCAAGTACAAGCTTCTGGCTTCAGCAAGAAGATGGCGAAAGAGCTGGAACTTTACATGAAGGAGCATGGCATCGATGGTGATGCTGGAGATACTGCCACCGGAGTAGAGGGAGAAGAGGTTGACGGCGACCATGACGATGAAGGCGGCGAGGAGGACGAATTTAGTCAAGAGGAATACGGCGGCGTCTCTCTCCAAGGTGGCCCTGTAGGCGACGACATGTCTGCTGCCCATGACACAACAGCCGACGGACAAACTACTCTCGCCTCACAGATGACCATACTCGAGATTCGAGACAACGACCCACTACCAGACCTCAAGGACATTAAGCCACCTCCACCGTCCGAGCCCACCATGACCACCAAGGCTGCCAAGAAGAAAGCCGGGTGGGCCATCTAGACCTGTCAACTACATCTCGTTTCCTTCCCATTTCTGCGATACCCAGACTCTATGACTACCTTTAGGCCACCCTTTCATGAAAGAACAAAAGTTGATAGAAATTATATTTGTATGACTCGCGTCCAATGGAGGCATATGAATCACCATCACATTTTTGTGGCACATGAAGAAACTTGTTTTTCTGAGTTGTGCTCATTACTGAGATTCCGCCCTAAAGGTATACATGGTGGTTCACGTTGCCATGCCAATGGATAGGTCACAATGTATACTGTTAGAACGGGGTTTGACGTCTGTCCAAGCCATCTTCATCCCAACTTTCAACTCTCGCTTTACCGGATTCTCGATTACTGTGCGCCGTATCCACGCTTCTAGCGCGTACCAAGCGCCCAAGAAAGCGGAAATCTGGCTGTACGAAACCATCTCGTATAAGCAAAGACCTTATTCCTTCGGACAGGCGGTTACCATTCAGGGCTTCGGGGTGCGTGCAGAATGTATTGCATGAGCGGTAATGGTGAGATCTGAACTTGTAATTGTGAAGGTCCGTAAGTGGTTTGAATAGGGCAAGTCGTGGGATAGTTGCAAACAAATGTTGGCAATCCTGTAAAAACCTTGTGAATTCACATTCGTGCAACGGATTCTCGAATTGTAAATCAATGGACAATTCATCCAGTGCTAAAGTCACACTCACCCGCTTGGGTGGCTGATGTGAATGTTCTGAATTATGAGAAGAGCTACCTCACAGCGTAAGGTCGCAATCAGCAATAAGCATCATTCACTGCTTCTTCTCAAGGAATTATATCACAGCACTATCAAACCAGCATTCCACAGACTTCTTCAGCAATCTCAACAACCATGCCTCCACAAACAACAACAACGGTAACTATAGTCGCCATTCCAACCTACTACCAAACCGGATCCTATATCTTCATTTACCCAAAGTCCCAAGATGAGCGTCCAACCACAACAGCACGCTACATAGTCCTCACTCCCGCCTCGACAGAAACCCTCACAACCCGTAACGCAGCCATCGCCAAAGACGTCACAGACTGGGGTTGGCGCGTATTTCATACCGATTCCTCTGCTCCCAACATGAAAAAGTGGTTCAAAAAGTACGACAAAGCAGCGAAGAAGAATACTTGGGAGGAAGACATCTGGAGAATCTGGCAGCGAGAACATGGACTGAAGATTGGGTGGGCGGATATGGAACGTAAGGAGAAGGAAGCGAGCGAGAAGGGTAAGAAAGGAAAGTTCGTACATGGGGTAAAGAAGGCGGGAATATATCTTGGAAAGTATGGCGTAACGGTCTGTTCTGATGAGCAGCGATTGAGAAAGGAGGAGTCGGGCAAGGAGGAAGAGAGGAGGTGGAGGTTGGCGGACGACCAGATTGTGGGCATGTCTGAGGATCTGCCTGACGATCCTTTTGCGGATCCTCCTACAGAGAGGGGTGGGACAAAAGATGAGGGAGATTTCAAGTCGGGCAACCTGAGAGGTGGCGGTGGTATGGATGCGAAGAAGAGCTCGCCTGAGAAGACTGCAGTATATGATGTAGCGCCTTTGACTAGACACCCGTGGTTGCTATTAGGTTGAGTGTCATTCCATTCTCTACATCCTCAAACCAGTATTAATTTCTTACAGCTCTCACTTTTCATCTTTCTCTCCATCCTTCTCCTTCTTTTTCTTTCCGATCTCCTCACTCCTGGCTCTCTTCATCTGCTCCACTCCTTCTGTCAAATCTCTATGCACAACTCTAACCTCCCACCCGTCATCCTCACTCCACCGTATCTTACCCAATTGCTCTGCAAATGCCACACTCCTGTGATGGCCACTCCCACACAAACATCCTACTCGTACTATCGCTTTCTCCTCATCCCTACTAGCTCGTACATCTTTGATCTCCATGAGTCGCCGAATGTCGTCCTCAGCGCGGGTCACAATGTCGCTGAACGATTCGCGGCTCATGAGCTCGTCTTGGAGCGTGGAGTCGAGTCCGGTGCATGTTTTCCGCATTTGAGGGGACGGGTTCTGGGTCATACGGCAGTCATATTCTAGATCTGGTTTAGGAGATGGTGGTGTGAAGCGGTCGTAGGATGTGATTTCGAGGATTGGTTGACTTTGAGAAGTTTCCGAGTCTTGATTCGCCTTCTTTGCTGATGCAATTTCATCTTCGGTTGGTGGAACGAGTCGTGTGTTTTTGACGGTTGAGACAATGTCCGACAGTATGGTCATTTTCCTGATGATAGCTGAGCCGTGAATTGCGGTAGGACTCAATATGGGCTTAGCTATGCTGGAGAGAGTCGTTTAAAGTTGGCTTTCATATAGGGCATGTGAGCCAGTGGATAACTGTATGTCTGCAAACGTGATGGTTCGGGCCTTCTTTCTTATTTTCATGACGCTCAGTCGGGTAAGAGGTCGCGTGCCCGCTGCAGATTGCTTCAGGGTCTCTGAAAACTTCGGCGCATGAAGATGACGTCACTGTATATGGGCCTTCCTCAACTACAACGACCCTCTCACTGGGTGGCACCGCAGGGCTTCTTTTTATAGTGAAAGGGTACGAGCACCTAGGTAGTGATGAGGATTGGTAAGAAGATTGCAGTTTACGTGTAAGCTTTCAGTGAGTATGAATTTCAAGTAATTCTGTGCAATCCGAACGGACAGTGAGTGTCTGGTCAGCCTATTGCGCATGGCAGTCTGTGACCATGACCAAGGAGTGGGTGCGGTCCAACGACGACATTCTTCACAAGAATCGAGTGAGGTAGGTGGAGGTTTGTGTAGGACTGGGAGGACAATGACGAGGCTAGCCGTCGGATCATGGTCTTGGCGAATGACTCAATCGCGAACCACCCCTCCAAAATATCCAAAAGTGGACGGAGCACTAACACGTCGCAATCAACCGTCAAGATGAGCACCGAATCGGGAGTCAAGACACAGCCGACCTTCGACATAGTCGCGACATATCGCCGCATCCTCAAAGATGACCCGGAGCTTACTATGCCCGTGGCGGCCATCGAGGCGCTTGTAGAAGCCATTGCACAGAGCTCCGTCTCGACCGTGGCCGAGACACTCGACCTACTCGAACGCCACACAGCTGCCCTAAAGGCTTCAATCGCGAACCCCATCTCCCTTTCCGCCGGCACAGATCTCTTCCAGCGCTATCTGATCACAACGCTTAACCGCCCCGCAAGCCTGAACCTGGGCCCAGACGACGACTTCCGCGCGATACGCAACCACCTCCTCTCCAACGGCAAGCTCTTCGTAGACCGTGCAAAACAGAGCAGGGAGAAGATAGCGAGCTTTGGCAAGCACTTTATCCGCGACGGCGGCACAGTGCTCACAAATGGTGGTTCGCGAGTAGTGGGCGCGCTACTGAGAAGGGCAGCCGAGTCAAGCACTCTCCGCTTCAACGTCATATACGTCCTCCCTTCATCAAGCTCGTCGGACGCGAAAGAGGGCCTTCAGACCGTCGCCGACCTCCGAGACCACAACGTTCCAGTAGCCACGATCCCAGACTCAGCCGTCGCCTACTCTCTCGGCAAAGTCGACATGGTTATTGTGGGAGCCGAAGGTGTCGTAGAGAACGGCGGTATCATTTCGCGCATGGGCACATATCAGTTGGGCGTACTAGCCAAGAGCAAAGGAAAGCCCTTCTACGTGGTTGCCGAGAGCCACAAATTTGTCAGGCTATATCCCCTCAGCCAGTTTGATTTGCCCATCGAGCAGAAGGTGCTAGACTTCAAGGTCGCAGAGGAGCCCAAGGAAGAACAAAAGGCCAAGACTGACCAAGAGCAACCGAACGTCTTCGACGAAGCCATCGCAGACATGGCTGCCAAGCGGTCAACAGTCGCTCCACTCGACGCTCATGACGCTGTCGACTTCACGGTTTGTTCTGTCCACTCTGCTTCAAGTACGTTTTGCTAACACGAAGTAGCCACCCGATCTGATCTCTGGTATCATTACTGAGTCCGGCGTCCTCACCCCATCTGCCGTCTCGGAAGAGTTGATCAAGATATGGTTTTGAGCCCTCCATGAGCATGACCTACATTCCACACCAGAGCAACTATCCTATTGCAAGCACACGATCGGCATATAGTCTTGTCGAAGGTACTCACATCAATCACAGGAACTTCGTACAAGGCGAATCTGTGACTCCGCAACCTTCACGCCTACGCCGCAACCGGCGCAGCACCTCTCGAGACTGGGACATTCATGTCGCAAGGTATCGTGCGCATGAAAAGCTCACGTGAAAACGCTCGAGAATCGGCGGTTTTGCCAAAGAAGACTGGAATACGCGAGTACGACGAAAGACAACGACCAGTTATGACGTGGTATCGCGCTGGCGATGCCGGCATATGATACCCAATAGATTTATGCAATGGCAACATTTCTTAGCCCTCCTACCTCTTCAAGGAGTTGGTCTTATTGTAACAACGCGTCTTTTGTGTAGGAATAATCAACGTGAAGTATACGATGAAGTATACGATTCCATTGACAGCGAGAGCAAACTTTTCGACAATGAATATATTCTCCCGCCTACAAAGCTTCCTGACTCCTTGTCTATCGTCCACAGTATACAAGCCGCACAAAAGATGCCATACCTGATCCAGCCACCAGCGCACTCCATCGACACCTGCAATCAGCTTTTTACCTATACGCTTGCTGATCCCACCCCTTCCGAGCTCTCTAAAATCAAAGACCTTCAGAACTGGGGTTGGCAAGTCTCTTTGCACTCTCAAGATGATGAAAAGTATCTTGCCGCTACAGAGAGAATGGAGAGAGCGATAAAGAAGAGACGGCGCAGGACCCAGATGGTCTACGGCGATATGATGGGCGATGGTCCAAGGCCGGCTTTTGAGGAGGTTTGGGAGCAGGAATCGATTAAGAGGTCAACGCAGAGACTATTTGAGACGAAGGAAAAGGAGATTGATATTAGTGATCAAGCGAGCATAATGTCTCACATGACACAACAGAAAATTTGGTTGCATTGGGCTGATGAAGAAGCTCAGTGGGAAGCAGAGAAATTCAACGTAAGAGAATCCCAAGAAGAGAGCTTTTGAGGGAGTGGCATAGATATACGACTGATAGGCCCAGACAGGACATTCAAGTCGTCAATGAGCATTGCTTGCTGCCAACTCACTCCAGATTAGAAGACAATGGAGAAATGGACAGGCACTTGCACCAAAGGTCTGCCTCCAGTCCCATCATAAGAAGGGAAACCAACATCGCATCCCATTCCGTTGAGGAAAATGAGGCTAATTGGCACATTATTACGTCGCCGTACTCTTCTCAAAGCGCTAAATCTCAACTTACAGGTCGGAAGGCCCTACAATCCTCTCCATGTTCCACGTTAAAAGCCTCTTCAGAAGAGTCAGACCTCCTCCTAGATCCCTATATGCTTGCCATGGCTACATGTGGACACTGGTGTCCGCCTGCGTTCCTTCAGACCTGGTCACGCCAAAATCCTCAAACCAAATCTGCTGCACCACGTGCCGAACTTTCATCAAAAGACCCCAAAAAGCCTCAAAAACTCAAGAAGAAGATTGCTCGCTTTTACTCAGAACCTAGCTTAAACTACTGGATATCCTTCAGATTTGCCAGGCCTTTCTCCTGGGTGAAAAGAGAGCGAAATGAGAAAGCAGGAGGGAATGCAAATTTGATCACATCGCAGCAGCAACATACTGAGGGTTCGGGCGATGCCAAGAAGCCTTCGGGCACTATTTCATTACATAGTACGCTTCAATCCTTTCGGCTGTCACGTTCCACCGCCTTGTCTGATAGTTCTTCCAGTACTCTTCAACCAACCACTTCGACTGGCAGCAATCCAAGTCCTGATTCACAACCAAACGCAGTAACTCTTTACCAACCGGAACCACGCAGTGTCTCACCAGTACCTTCTACTGCCTCCAGCCTCATCTTCCCCGATCGTGAAACAACACAAGAAGAATACTTTCGGCGCACGAATCGACCGCAAGATAACTTACAGCCTCGTCAGCTAACGCCGCCACCAGGACTAGAAGAAGAAAACGATCCCTACGAGTGGCAAGCTTGGAATCTTGGGCGCGCTCATCAAGAAAGTAAGATTGATCGTATGCTTGGAGGACGCAGCTTTCGTAGATCAAGTGCTGGGGACGCTAGTAAGGGAAAGACCAAGAATAGCTGGTATGATGAATTTCGGAAGAAGATGAAGGAGGAGCAGGTGCAAGCGCAAAAGGAGCGCAAGGAAGCCAACAAAAAGAAGAAGAAAGAGTTGGAGAAGTTGGAGAAGCAGGAGAGGATAAACAGGGAGGCGGAGGCGAGAGAGATGCTGAAGAAACAAGGTATGTTTTCTGTGGGGTATTTACCTAGGTATGCATAAACACGCCGCTGTTCTTTTGGTATGAGTTGGGAATCCTGGATACCCAGGATGTGTTGTATCCACATCTCTCAGTAGGCCCTAATTTTAACTCAGAGAGATTGTTTTTTTGTTCTGTTAAACATCTATACGAGCTCTACCACTAACGCTGTCCAAGTCTGAAGGTAGTGCAGAGAACACTCACTAAGCCGAATAGAGTAAGTGCAGTTATCGCCTGGAGCTTACCGTGCCACAATTACGTGCCAGCCAGGTACATGAACCTGACATCTAAGGATACGATTATTCTATCAATCATTTACCAACATAGTGAACTCTCGTGAATAAATAGCTGGTTCGAGATACCATGATTGAATATCCCAAACACGTGCCACGGGACCTGATCAAGGCAAAGGACTGGTCGGCAGAGGATGAAGAAGAAGAAGAAGAAGAAGAAGAAGAAGAAGAAGAAGAAGAAGAAGAAGAAGAAGAAGAAGAAGAAGAAGAAGAAGAAGAAGAAGAAGAAGAAGAAGAAGAAGAAGAAGAGGACAGCGAGAAGGAAGAAAATCAGCCTATAGATTTCTACCACCCTTGGGGCTATACAATCTACCGTACATGCTACACGCCTAGGTCGCAATCGCGATGAGAATCTTTAATCGAAGCGATCCTACTAGGAGTCGAAGGAACCATCCCGGGATTACACAAGGATGAGACACCGCCTGGATCTCAACTGTTGCTCTCTCTATTTCGCCTATATCTTCGCTCCGACGCCTCCTTGAATGATGGTGTTACTATAGATGATCTCCGAAAGGTCTATCGTGATCCCCAACAAATTGTATACCGTTGCCAAACTTCGGTCGACCGGACCGTATCTTTCTCGTCGCCGATGCAGAGGTCTTGCTGGATCCTTACTTCTTGCCACAGAAGAATGTAGCATTGAAAGGTGTTCCAGACCTCGCTACAAGCGATGCTGAGGCTCCAGGAACTGCGCAAAGATGGTGTTATCGACATCACGGTTTCCAGAGATTTCCCGACACCGAGCAACAAAGATTAAGGTACTTCGGCAACACATATAAGGAATGGTCGGAAATCAAGAAGCAATGGCTGAAATTTGTAAAAGTTGATTATGTGCACGCAGAGTACGAGCAACGATCAAGACATAGTCGTCTGCCTCTTCTTGGCTGGTTCATGACAACTAAGGGTGGTATAGCAGAGCTGTGGGAGACGTTGGCTGTGGGAGATATTCTGCGTATTGTACCAAAGGTTGAAGGAGTAACCTGTAAGTAGATCGTGTCCTATATTTTATACTATAAGCTGACGCCTGGATACAGGGGACGGGTACGGAAGAGGAAGTATTGGACGTTACCGGTTGTGGTAACCCTGATGCTTGTTGTACTACGTGGAAGATTGTTACTCGCCCATACGCCAGACAACACCAAAATCGAGCTTCTCCACTGAACAAACCCTCAGTTGCAGTACTGTACTCCTTCACTTGGCTTGACAATACCCATGTCAATGAAAGCTGGGTAGTTCCAGTAATCGCCTTGGGCACCCTCTCCCACTACAGGCACGCTACCAAAAAACTTTGCAGTCCAATAAGCACTTCCTCTTGTGTACTTTGCAAAAGCATACCTAATGTTACGCGTATAAAGTCAGTGTATATCTCGAATGCAGTTCGTGCAGGGACATTATCTACAGCTCTGTGTTCAGGTTCTTCCTGCGGTTGGCAAACTTGTTATCTGCCACAGTCTCGATGGGCCATTCCCCAACAAATACAGGAAACTTGCCATCCCCTGCCGAGGCCTTTGCGTCTGAGCAGATATCTGCGCTCACAGTATCAGAGTCTGTGGGACGCCCAGCGAAATAGTAGTTGTGTACGTCAAAGACTAGATTGGCCGAAGCTGAGAACCTGGGAGACCAGAATGCTTCACCTTTGAAGCTACCCTGCAACATAACGGGTATATTCTTGTTTACGGCCGTTACTTTCGCAACAACCGCGTCAAAATACTTCTGCGTTCACGCAACGCCGTTTTCCGTCAAAGCGGCTGGTGTTCCAAATGTTGTGAAGTCGCGGTTGTCCACTAATTCATTGATTGGCTCAAGAGTGTACGACTGTGGAGTACCGGAGGATTGAATGAAAGCCAATGCAGCATCGACAGCGCGTAGAGAGTAGTCGAGGTTCGTTACATTGTTGAACCATCCAAAGCGGCCTTCGCCTTCGCCGAAGCCCATGCCGTTTACGCCTCCGGGAAGGGAGTGAATGTCAAGGATAATATGTATACCGTGCTTTGCGATCGCATAGGAGGCAATGTTCTTGAAGAACTGAGCTTGGTTGCCACTATAAAAGTTACTCCCAGGGACTTTGATCCAAGCGGCATACGTTGTTGGAATCCTCAAGATGTTCACACCAGCAGTAGCTAACTTGTCGATATCGGTCGGCGTGATGAACGGAGCATAGTGTCGCTCGAGAACAGGACCGCATTTCGATCCTAGTTGGGCACAGCAAGTCCACTCATCAGTTGTGGTGCCACAGTTCTGAGACCACCAATTTGGGTCAATGACAGCTTCTTGGGCGAGCCATCCTCCAAGATTGACAACATTGGCTTTGAGCGTTTTCCAGTCGAGGTAGGCAGGTTGCTGACGCGCTGTCGGACTGGCAGTAGCGAAGGGATGAAGGAGACAAGAGAAGTGGCAATGATGCTGAAGGTAACCATGTTTAATGGGGCGATGCTTGAGTCTTGGTGGAGTGTAAGGAATCTCCTAGACATTGGACCGCTGATCTTTATAGCTTACAGATGGGCCTCTTATCATCTTCTCTGGTCGGGATAGCGTCCAGCTGGAAGCCACAAGATCGCAACAAGGAGCATGAAGGGCAACATGTGGAGCCGGTCAACCTACCTAGATCTAAGGGCCAAGCTGATGATATGAGTAGGTTTGCATATGTTCAAGACCCCTTCAAGACATGGTCCAGTGAACGGCTGCACAGCTAATCGTACTTCTACCCCAGATTCGACCCCAGACTCGACCTCAGACTTGGCGCCATATAGTAGGTACATCATAGTGGCTTCGGCATCCTGGAAAGTTACCCCGAATCAAGATTTGAAACCTACCGTTGTCCTTATAGGGTCCATATTACCCCGAACTACCTGGTACTCCACATCGGGTAGCATGGACGCTAAGTGGCCCACATCCCGATATGGGTGTTGTGCCATTCGACTAACCACAACCCCTTCAATCGTTTCTTGCTTGATTAACACTCGAAGATACGGTCAGAAATCGACTTAGGGAATCTGATGCCCAAAAGAATCTCAGATGCTGTCAGGAACGCCAGTATGCGCAAGAAAAGCAACGAAACAATTCCATGGCTATGATCGAAGACAGTGTCGTATTATGCTCGTCGTCAGCTCTACGTTATCAAGAAGTGAGCAAGATGATGGGTGAAAGTTTGTTCATGATGACGAATGTATGCTTGCGGGTCGTCCGTGCGTGACCGGAGTTTCTCAACCAAACTTCACATCCCGATCCGCTTCATTAACACGATTCAGTGTTATCTCCATCGTCAATCTGCCTTGAAAATACTGGATGTACCTACACTGATCTCGGTAATTGCATGCACAGCCTGAAGCCGCCGCCGCCTTCCTTGCCAAACCCGGCCGTATCAATTCGCACAGCGAATTCAAGCACCACCATGTGTGCGCGGATCCTCATGTAGTTGCATGATTGAAATCAACCCGTGCAACAGGAGACTCTCTTCGCGACTCTTGATGGTATTTATTTGCCGAGCTACCATGCCTACACAACCTTCTTAGGCTCGTGGACCTGGCATGATCTACCACAAACCGCTCATCAGTACCTGGCCTAGCTTCAGTTTATACCTATAGCAGCTATGGAAGACCAAGCTTCGTCCGTATACGGTACCCCCACAGTCGTAAATTCACACCGATGCCATTGACCGGACGGATCGGCAAGAAGATGCACCGCTGCTCACACCAAGACTACAGGGGATCATCGTCACGACGGCCGCGGTGCCATTGATGTCTTACACAACTCACCATCTACTCCAAAATATCGATTCGTGACGTGGCTGTCCCAGATCCGGAGAAGGGTTACTGGAAGGACCCAACCCCTATAAGCTTGGTATTGCATTAGTACACTCACCAGCCTTCCTTCCGATTATGCCGCTATTGCACCTGCAGATACGAGAAAGATACAAAAGGCAATGCAGGGTGAGGTGTCTGATGTGTGCCAGAAGATGAGGAGTCTGTAGAAAAGGAAAGAAGGTACATAGACTGGCACAGTGATCATGCCAGCAAGGTCCGCAGCAACGTATGAGTTGAGGTATGAGATCGAGCTTACGGCTGAAGAAGATGCCACTCATAGAGAACACCGTCCAGCGGAAAGATGACTGGAGTAGTAATCCCTTCAGCTAGTTGTACAGGAAAATGTTGTTGGCCTGCAGCGGAGCTTGGCTACCTCTGAAGAGTCATCGTAGGCTACAACACCTACTGCTCTGTTCTGGTCATCATGGTACATAGCGATCATGAAACAGGTTGCATGCATAAAAATAACAACCATTGTGCAAGATACGAAACATCACCCTCTTGTTGCTTTTGTCACGACGTAGTCAATGCACAGTCAGTGCATGCAGCATGCAATCACACCGCATATTGCAATCACAACTCACATTCTCACGCAGCATGGACACGGTCAAGTGATCAAAAGTACCACAAATAATTAGATAGTAGACATTAAGTAACCAAAACTACCAATGACAACCGATTGATTCGTCCCATCTCAAGTACTGAATCGCAAACCCCACACCCCGCCAAGCCAACGCGTGCTTCCCTGCCCAGTCCATCTCCGATCGGCACTCCCCCAAGCTTCCTTCGACTACAACCAAGCCAAAGATCCTCTCCTTGTTTGCAAGTATTCCCCACACGCCAACTCCACGCAATATGAAAGTTTTCTCCGGTGGCATTATGGGGTCCAACGGATCGACTGTCGTCATTTCGGAAGAAAATGTTGTGATTGCAGTGAGGGTATGGGGACGATGATGTCAGTCCTCCGTGTTTTTGACTCGTGGGTATTGATCGAGGCTGCGACTAGGCTGCTTGGCAATGTCCGCTGCTGGTTCCGCCTTGCTTGCCTGCAGACCAGAGCAAGGCTTGCCGTCATTGTATCGTCTCCGTGCGTCGTCTTGGTATGAGCTTATCACTCGTCGGTGTCGTCGACGCTCTCGACGCTCGGAGAAGGGGATGATTCACGAATGTATCTTGACGAGAGCGTTGGGCTGGCAATGGGTTGTTGTGAGATGGAGATCTGGCCCTCGGCTTCGATGTCCTCGATGGGGATCCTGAGCATTTGGCCGCCAACTAGGTTGGGGACGTAGACGAATTGAGTAGCGGGTGAAGACATTTTTGTCGATAGAATGGGTTGTGTTTGAGATTGGTATGATAGTGGTAATAGTAGTGTAGACTGATGATGAGGTAGTTAAAGTCTGATACAGGAAATCTGCGATGTTGGGTGTTCACCTTCATGTGGGGATACGGCTCAGCTATATACTGTGCCAGAATCCCACGGCTCACCTGAGAATGCCATTGCTCATGCGGCATCCCAAACCCCAGCTCCACGCATGCATCCACCAGACTACCAACCCAAAACCCTATCCCCGACAATCCAAGCATCGCATGCTCCACCCGTCACTCCCGCAGCCAATTATAGCACGCTACCAAACAAGGGTGCCTTAACGCCAGCTCCGCCGTGTCAGCCCAACGCACTGATTCGGCGCAGGACCTGCACAACGCGTGGCAAGTCTCCCCGAACAGCTTACTGTGCCGCTTGGTTGTGTCCGACGAGCGGCGATAAGTGGTTCATGAGTGCGTAGACAAAGCAGCCCCGCACCAATTTCCTCTCCGCCAGCCGGCCAAGCAGCGCTTAAACGGTGCGATTTATACGTTAGCCCGGCCAAGTCGCCCTGTCCGCAGGGTCTAGACCATATGTTTGTTATCGTGGTGTAATTCTAGGCGAGGGATGATGCAAGGTGTTGAGTTGGAGGGTGATAAGGAATTATTGCGAGGGAGACTGGGTTTCGGAAGATCGGCGTTTACAGAATCGCGATTATTCACTTTTTAGAGTTTTGACTTTATGTCCGGCCGTTGCCTAAGATCACGTTCGGGGACATGCATTGTGCCGACCGCGAATATTGGCCGAGTGCTTCTTCGACAGTCACCTGCTGCACTCTACAGACACTGTGCAACTGCGGACGAGCATTTTCGTCCTCCTTGCAGTTCACGATGACGGTTAGAAAACTCTTTGTCACGGCTCGACTGGGCAATGCTGGGCGCCTAGCTTCCGAGAATGCTGCCGAGAGCTTCTGTACGGTTCTGTATCGTTCTGTTGAACCGTGGCACTCGGCTAGTAAACGAGCAGCTATACGGTTTGCCTCTGGACTGAAACTACCGTCGTTAGACAGAATAGCTCATGGTGACCAGCATGCACCAACGGACGTGTGCGACGATCAAGTAGAATGGAATTGCACCATAGTTGTACGCGTCGCGACTCCGCAACATCCGCTTGACGGTATGATTGCTTGGTAATCTACTGTTCAGATATTTCTTCAGTGGAGAAGGATTACATGCTGTCGCAGGCAGAACAAGGGCGGGAACTCTTGGATCCAAGCAATTCCGCTCGACGCCAACTGTTCGATACGAGGTCATGTGGCACATGCACCAAGCCTAATCAACGACGCCAGGGCGCGCCAACGCACCCCAGATCACGAATGGCCTCGGAAACCCAATGTCCACGGTCCACATGGTCAGCCTCGTACAGACCGTAGCCTATACGCCATCGTAAAGCGAACCTCTAAATAGTCAAGCTTACACGAACCAATACCAATGACAGTCGGGTCCCTATTCCTGTAGAATTGCTCGAAATTGAACAGGGTATCATGCTAGTATTACAACGCTTTCGTAACCTTACGCCTCGCTTGATAAACAACAATCCCTTCAATGCGGGACACTATGGCCTGATCTTGCCAGCTTCAGGGTTGTCCCTGTTGCCCTGCCAACCCCAGGCCAATCTGGACATGGTCTTGTCTTCGTCCTTTCCGGGCCATAAGACCTGTCCGAGGTATACAGCACGAATGCAAAAGACTGCCGTGACGAGCCACATGATGACCAGTAGAACGGTCAAAGCGCTCGCAACACCGTTAATAGCTTCACTGTGTAGCACTTTCCCTACTTGTATCGTTGCAAGCGTAAGTCCTGCGTTGGGAAAGATAAACGCCCACCAGTTCAGCGAGAAGGACATTCTACGCATTCCCACTACGACAGCGATGGTTGTTATGATGAAGAACCAGTATGCGAACAATATGATGAAAAGGCCTGCCATGATGCCTATGATGCGTACAATCTCGCCGTCTGGGACTACAGTGTTCGTAAAGTAGTTTGCGGCGATAAGCGACGGTGCTTGGTTCGCGAGGGAGATGAGACCAGCGGCGGTGTAACCTATCGTTGTCAATACCTTTGTGATAAGAAAAGATGCAGAGTATGGACTTACCAGCTGGACCAACAGATACGTACATCCCAGGTCGCGTAGTGGGAGACGGCAAAGAACTGGTCATCAGGCGCTGCATGTATAACGCATACAGCAGGAAAGAAACAACCCATGCGAGTCCTTGGAAATGTATAGCTCCGACGAATATCTTCCAGCTGGGCGTCTCAGGTTGGGATGGAAGTATAGTACCAGCCAGAGTGCCCACGACAAGCAACGGGTATATTGGGAAAATCCAAGCAGGCACAGCGTCGCCAACGTTGAGGCGTTCGAGACGGAAGAAGAGCGAATACTGGATGACACCGACGAGGAAAGCGGCGGCGCAGTACATCCAGTACAAAATTTCGAGAGTTTTCGTGAGCCATGCCCCAGTCGACGTGTTGCCATAAATGTAAATGCAGTTGAGTATGAGGGCGACCGACACCCAGTACGTGCCGAAGAACAGACCCTCAACTGGGTGGTGTAGCGATCCGAGTAGCTTGCGAGGGACAAGGAGGAACCGCGCGAACATGCAGATGTTGAATATGATGAAGAGTACGAGGTCGAAGATGAAAACCACCTTGCCGATAGTTTCCAGGCCAGTAAACCTGTTTGGAGTGTTCCCAAGGACTACAGCCAATGATCCTGTTGACATCGTACATGCGAACCATGGCCTGTGGTGTCGTGAGCTCGTTATTCAAATATCCTCGGCGCGTGTACATACCATGTGAAATGCACGATGCGATCGCGCAACCCAACTTCTTGCGGTGGCTTCTCCTCATCTTTCTCGTACGTAGTATTAGTTCTGTCGCGGAATCGCATTTTGGTGATAAGTATGAAGCACGCGCAGGTGTTGAGCAGCCCTGAGCCATGCTTAGGTAGTATTTACAGGTTCCCAGCCATGACACCTTCTTCTCAAGCATCCCGGAAAGAGTGCCGGACGCGTTTCGTCATACGGGCCCATAGCGTGCTTGTTCTAGAGTTAGTGGCGATCTTGGTGTCTACGCGCCAAATGAGAGGAACGACGGGCAGCCCCGTAGTTGAGTCTCGGAAATCGGCACGCAAGCGTCTAGCAAAAAATGTGAGGATTGAGGCTTGGCGCATTGACGGCTGTGACGTCAGGGGCCGTATGACCGACCATGAGGCATCGAGCTGAACACATGCACCTCATAAAGGGAAGAATTCAACAATCTTGGATGGTGGTTGATGTGTAACCATCTGATTCTTCGCTGTTATTGGGTGTGTGTAGGCCAGCTATTGCCCGCTTCAGTGAGAATACAAGCAAGCACAGGTAGGCACCCCCGTCCCATGCAAGGGAAGACTTTACACTCTTAGCGACCTGTCTTTCGCATCCTCACAGCATTACAACAGCGCCATCTACATAGGTTTACCGTATACCAGGATACGCTTTCTCTATTCTCAGTGCTTCCTTCGATCTCTTCATTCTTCATCCTATCTCCCTGTAACGTGGAAAGATTTAGCATGATGGAAGATGTGCTATCGCTATACCCTGTTGAAGTGGAGAACCAAATGTCCTATTGGCGAGACGTAGATGTCACCCATGCTGCAGATGCAGCGTGACATGAAACGAACCTGGAGCGGTGCGGCACAGTTGCCAGTTTGTCTCAATCTCAACCACTCTGTGCATACATCTCTACGACCAGTTCCTGTCATGAAAATCGCAGGTGTTTGCTTGTGTTACCATGGAAATTCCACATCTGCCACCGCTTCCCAGGCCTGTCCCATGGACCTATGATCCCACTTTCATACCAGTCAGTGCCAGAGAGCGAGAGTCCTTCGATCTGACTGCCGAGGTCACATTCAATGTTCTGTGCCAGTGGTGTCAGAACTTACTTCGCAAAAGTCCTAAGCTACCAGAGATTCCGCTCTTCACAGACGACAGTTCCACTATCCCCATTGAAGGACAGCTCGAGATTGACAAGAGTCTTCTGCGCGACTCTGCTTTGGGTGGTTGTTATCTATGTACTCTGGTCTTGAGAGAAGCACAGCGCTCTTATGGAGCGACAGAGAAAACACCTCCTTTTCGGAGCGTTGCTCCATATGTTGTGTGGTCAAGATTGGTAGCCCCTGTGAATTCAGGGATTGCTGGAGACATGGACGAGGGGTTTGAAGACGATTACACCTATGGTTCAACTCATGGGGTCACATTGGCCACTCGTCATGAGGGTGGGAACTTTTACTCCACGTTCTTGATACGACACCCGCGCACTTTTGAGCCTCCATCTGCCTTTGGTCGAAGCATCTATACGGGTTCGGATGAATGTCTGGAACGCTGCAGAGTATGGATACAAGACTGTTTGGAATCCCATTCAGAATGCCATCATAGCTTACCGTCTAAAGTCCCGACGCGTCTAATTGAGATCATGAACCCTCGCGAGATCAGACTCATAGAACCGACGAATACTGTGCATTATCTTGTATTGAGCTATTGCTGGGGTGGTTCAGACGTCTTGAAGTCCACAACCGAATCTCTTGCGGCATTCAAATCCTCGATGCCATTCGATCAATTAGCACTCACAATCCAAGATGCTATCGGAGTGGCCTATAGGCTTGGATCCCGTTTTCTATGGGTGGATAGCCTCTGCATATTACAAGACGATGCTCAAGAGTGGGACTGAGAAGCGAAAGGCATGTGCGACGTCTATCGCAACGCTACATCGACTATTGCAGCACTAGGGGCAGCACGCGCTACAGACGGACTGTTTGCGTGGCGTGATCCTTTGGTCTTCCAAGGATGTCAGTTTTATCGAACATGGGATCAGAGTTCCGAGCGTGGTCACAATTCCCCAAGTGTCGTAAATCAGTATGCTTGTTTCAGCAGCAGCACTCTAAATTCGCGCGGCTGGACCTTCCAAGAGCGGGCTCTGTCACGACGTACCTTGTATTTTGGATCCAGCGTATTTTGGAAGTGTAATTCCAAATTCGAGACAGAAGGTAAATTGAACTACGGTGGCTTAGAAGCTCACTTCAAGGCCC